ATGGGAATGTGGGGATGTGGGAATGGGGATGTGGGGATATGGGGATGGGAATGTGGGAATGGGAATGTGGGAATATGGGAATGGGAACGTGGGAATATGGGGATGGGGATGTGGGGATATGGGAATGGGAATGTGGGAATGTGGGAATGGGAATGTGGGAATATGGGAATATGGGAATGTGGGGATATGGGGATGGGAATGGGGATGTGGGAATATGGGAATGGGAACGTGGGGATATGGGAATATGGGAACGTGGGGATATGGGGATGGGAATGTGGGGATGTGGGATATGGGAATATTGCAATATGGGGATGGGAATGTGGGAATGGGAACGTGGGGATATGGGAATGGGAATGTGGGGATATGGGAATGGGGATGTGGGGATATGGGAATGGGGATATGGGAATGTGGGAATATGGGAATGTGGGAATGGGAATATGGAATGTGGGAATATGGGAATGTGGGAATATGGGAACGTGGGGATATGGGAATGGGGATGTGGGGATATGGGGATGGGAATGTGGGGATATGGGAATATGGGAACGTGGGGATATGGGAATGGGAATGTGGGGATATGGGAATATGGGAACGTGGGGATATGGGGATGGGAATGTGGGAATATGGGAATGGGAACGTGGGGATATGGGGATGGGAATGTGGGGATATGGGAATGGGAATGTGGGAACGTGGGAATATGGAATGTGGGGATATGGGAATGGGAATGTGGGAATATGGGAATGGGGATGTGGGGATGTGGGAATATGGGAATGTGGATGTGGAAATGGGATTGACGGAATGGGATTGAGGGAATGGGGATGGGAATATGGGAATGGGATTGAGGAGATGGGGATGGGAATATGGAATTGGGGATGGGGATGGGAATGTGGGAATGGGGATGGGAATGTGGGAATGGGATTGAGGAGATGGGAACGGAAATGGGATTGGGAATGGGAATATGGGAATGAGGATGGGAATATGGGAGTGTGACCGGGAATGGGAATATGGGAATGGAAATGGGATTGGAAACAGGATTGGGAATGGGAATTTGGGAATGAGAACGGGATAGGGAGTATGGAAATGGAGACAGGATTGGGAATAGGAATGAGGGTGGGAACATGAGAATATGGGAATTGGATCAAGAACAGGAACGGGATTGGGGACGGGAATATGGGAGTGCAATTGGGAATGGGAATATGGGAATAGGGACGGGAATGGGAATGAGAATGGGAATATGGGAATGGGAACAGGAATGGGATTGAGAATGGGGATGGGGATGGGAATGGGAACAGGAACAGGATTGGGAATGGGATTGGGAATGGGAATATGGGAATAAAGATGGAAACAGAAATGATGATGGGAATGGGCATGGGAATGAGAATCAGAAGAGCAATGGGAACGGGGCGTCAGCATGGCCAGGGCACAACAGGGTCAGCAGGGTCTGGGGGTTTCAGGGACACTGAGGTTTGGGATTGGGGGGAACACCACAGACTGAGGGGACATTGGGGGCTGGGGTCATCAAGGTTTTGAGGGACATCAGGGTCTTGAGGTTGGGGGTTTGGGGTCACCAGGCCCTTTTGGGTTTGGGGGATACTGACATCTTGAGGTTAAAGGGACATCAGGAGCGTGGTGGTTTGGGTTTAGGGTCATTGGGGTCTTGGAGTTGGGGGTCATCAAGGCCTTGGGGCTGGGGTTCTGGGGTCATTGGGGCATTGGGGTTTGGGGTCAGGGACACCAAGGACTCAGGGTTTGGGGGACAGGGAGTTTGGGGTTGGGGACAGTAATTCCTGGTCTTTGGGGAACACTGAGGTCTTGGGGTTTGGGGAACACCAAAGTTCTGGGGATGGGGAACACCAAAGTTGGATGGAGACAGCAGCCTCTGGTCCTTGAGGGACACTGAGACCTTGGGGACCGGAGGACACCTGGGGCTCAGGGGTGTCCAGCTCTTGGGGTGGGGAACACTCACCTCTGGTCCCGGGGGTCCCTCCTGCCCCCAGGCACCGGTGACAAATGTCCCCAGTCCTTGGGGGTCACCTGGCTCTTGGGACACGTCCGGCTCCGTGGGCTCGGGCAGCTCCCTGGGTCCCTCCTGCTCCAATGGGACTGTCCCCTGTTCCTGGGGGACATCTGGCTCTGTGTCCCCAGGGACGAGGGGCTCTTGGTGGCCATTGAGCTCCGGAGGTTTGGGGACAGCCACGTCCGGGTGTCCAGGGCTGGGGACACTCAGTCCTGAGCCTTGGGGAGCCCCCAGATCTTGGGGTTCGGGGTTGATCCCCTCTGGTCCTGTGGGTTCAGCCACCTCCTGGGGACCAGTGACAGCTGTCCCCAAAGCCTGGGGGACACCCAGCTCCTCCGGTTTGGGGACAGCTGACTCCTGGCCCTGGGGGACATCCAGGTCCTGGGCTTTGGGCACCGCCATCTCTGGGCCCCCTGGCCCGTCCTGCTCCGATGCTCCGCTCTTGTTTGTCCCCTGTTCTTGGGGACCCCCTTGGGATGTCCCCAGGGCTCTCCGGGCAGGTGGGGGTCCCCCAGGGCCTGCAGAGAGGGGACACCCCTGTCAGGGATGGGGTTGGGGTGACACCATCATCAGGGATGGGTGAGGGTGACACCCCCGTTGGGGATGGGTGAGGGTGACACCTTCATTAGGGATGGGTGAGGGTGACACCCCATTAGGGATGGGTGAGGGTGACACCCCCATTAGGAATGGGTGAGGGTGACACCCCCATTAGGGATGGGGTGAGGGTGACACCCCTATCAGGGATGGGTGAGGGTGACACCCCCATTAGGGATGGGGTGAGGGTGACACCTTCATTAGGAATGGGTGAGGGTGACACCTTCATTAGGGATGGGTCAGGGTGACACCCCATTAGGGATGGGTGAGGGTGACACCCCCATTAGGAATGGGTGAGGGTGACACCCCATTAGGGATGGGTGAGGGTGACACCTTCATTAGGGATGGGTGAGGGTGACATTCCATCAGGGACGGGTGAGGGTGACACCCCCATTAGGGATGGGTGAGGGTGACACCCCCATTAGGGATGGGGTTGGGGTGACACCCCTATCAGGGATGGGTGAGGGTGACACCATCATCAGGGATGGGTGAGGGTGACACCCCTATCAGGGATGGGTGAGGGTGACACCCCCATTAGGGATGGGGTGAGGGTGACACCCCCATTAGGGATGGGTGAGGGTGACACCCCATCAGGGATGGGTGAGGGTGACACCCCAGCAGGGATGGGTGAGGGTGACACCATCGTTAGGGATGGGTGAGGGTGACACCCCCATTAGGGATGGGGTGAGGGTGACACCCCATCAGGGATGGGTGAGGGTGACACCTTCATTAGGGATGGGTGAGGGTGACACTCCATCAGGGATGGGTGAGGGTGACACCCCCATTAGGGATGGGTGAGGGTGACACCATCATCAGGGATGGGTGAGGGTGACACCCCCATTAGGGATGGGTGAGGGTGACACCTTCATTAGGGATGGGTGAGGGTGACACTCCATCAGGGATGGGTGAGGGTGACACCCCTATTAGGGATGGGTGAGGGTGACACCCCCATTAGGGATGGGTGAGGGTGACACCTTCATCAGGGACGGGTGAGGGTGACACCCCCCTTGGGGATGGGTGAGGGTGACACCCCCCTTGGGGATGGGTGGGGGTGACACCCCCATTAGGGATGGGTCAGGGTGACACCCCCGTGAGGGATGGGTGAGGGTGACACCCCCATTATGGTTGGGGTAACACCCCCATTAGGGATGGGTGAGGGTGACGCCCCTGTTAGGGATGGGTGAGGGTGACACCCCATCAGGGATGGGTGAGGGTGACACCATCATCAGGGATAGGCCGGGGTGACACCCCATCAGGGACAGGTGAGGGTGACACCCCCGTGAGGGACGGGTGAGGGTGACACCCCCGTGAGGGATGGGTGAGGGTGACACCATCGTCAGGGATGGGTGAGGGTGACACCCCCATTAGGGTTGGGGTTGGGGTGACACCCCCATTAAGGATGGGGTGAGGGTGACACCCCCGTGAGGGACGGGTGAGGGTGACACCCCATCAGGGATGGGTGAGGGTGACACCCCCGTTAGGGCTGGGTGAGGGTGACACCCCCGTTAGGGCTGGGTGAGGGTGACACCCCCATTAGGGATGGGGTGAGGGTGACACCCCCGTTAGGGATGGGGTGAGGGTGACACCCC